ATTGTGAGATTAGCTGTTTGTAGAAAAACAAATGTTAAAGGGGCCCTATGATGCTCATTTTCAGGTTCATATTTGTATTGTGCCTCTACTGTGACATGTCTCCATGCTTTAATGTTCAACAAGCTCTTTATTTTTCTCATACTGCCTGTGCTGCAGCACCTCTTTTCACCATCTGTCTGAAACCAGAGCCCAGTCTGCTCTGATTGGTTAGCTGGCCAGCTCTGTTGTGATTGGTCAACCGCTACGAGATGTCCCGGCCCCTAGCCTATCACGTACAATGTGTTGGAGCGCTAGCCAATAGAGGCGCGAGTGTTACATAGTGATGCCACTATGTTACATAAGTAAACAAGGTGTTTCAGGCAGGGGGGAGTGTGTGGGAGAGAAACTCTCTCTGGAGGGAACACAGGGATTTTGAGCTTTGCAGACCATTTACATGCACAACAACCTATATAACACACTATAGGAATGGGTAAACCCCTAAAAGCACAATAGGAGTCCTTTATTAGGTGAATGCAAAATAAATCATACTTTTTCTGACTTTTTAATAAATTGAATCAATTGTTGATCAAAAAGGTATCAACCCACACGCCGATTCAATGTTATTATTTCCTTTCCTATCACGGCTCTTAGTAAGTTGTTTTATTTAACACCAGAAAAAAACATAAAAGGACACAGGTGTAAAAACTGCTGACTGTGGGTAAAGTCAGAATGGAGGTTGCTCTCACATAATTACAGCAAACTCAACCCAAAGGAAAGAGCAGCTGGTGCAGCCACTAGTATAACTATCCACGTGTAGAGAGAAAAGTTGGGGAAGAATGCATGCAACTTCACTGTACTGTAGTACAAATATATTTTTTCCTCCAGAAAATCTTTCTCTAAGCCAGAACTGGGAGAAAGAGAACATGTTTGCAGGATGGAGTTACACTAGTGAGAAAATATGTGCATGCATCAAGTAATTAAACGCCTTAAATCAATGTCTTCATCCCCCTTTAATAAATTACATGATTTGCATGCATTATTTTGCAGTGCTAGGCGATGCTACTGTGCAACAACCCCTCCCTCCCTCCCCTATCCAGGGTCAACAGTGAAGTATAGAAACCAGCTAACATCACAATCCAAAAAGAGGTTACTCCAGGTCGAACAGAGACCTGGATTTGTGTGTCTGTTATTATCAGCTTTACTGAAAAAAAGGAAGTCACAGTAACATCTCACAACTCTGCTTGCATGCAAAGCTGAAATAAACAGGAATTGTTTAAAATATCCTAAATAATGTTGTTCAGAGAAGTTGCTGCAGTCTGAATGCATGCAGGCTTACTCAGTGGAAAAGAGAAGTACAGTTAGTGGATCATGTGAACAATGCTCTGAACAATTCGACTGTTATTGAAGCAAAAAAAAAGCCACTTCAGGCCTGGAACCGGTCCAACAACTGGCCGGTTGAAACAGCAAATTTAGTATCTGTGCAGCTGAAAACGCTGCCTCCATTAGCATGACAAACGGGACATTTGTGCACGGGCTGGAGGGCCAGTGAGGCTGCAGGGGGACACGAGCTGGGGGGGGGGGGCTGTCACCCTGCCACCGGCCAGAACAGCACACTGCACAATGGTAGGGGACAAAACGCTGCGGCCCCCACAGGGCAGAGTTCGAGATGCAAGACTTTACATACATTTCTAAGCCAAATGATATGAGAATTGAAGGAAACCAGCAGTAGGGCCATGGGATTTTTGCTCCGTCTGGCGTCAATAAAACGCAAGGACATGGTGCTTATTTTAGCTTTGCAGATTTGTACTCATTTCCTTTCCTCAGTTATACAACACTAATGTACAGTCTGTGAAGGGCTGCGAGTAACAGTTCTATTTTCAGTACAAACCAACCTGTGTTCACTTTACTGAGATGTATAATCTGTGTAAGGTTGATAATCAAGTTTAAATATTCTTTGATCAGATCATTTAAAGATTGTTCGGATAAGTTTGCCAATTGCCAACCATCTTATTGGAGTTCTTGTACCATTGCTTGAATTCTGAATTTCCCTACGGGGATCAATAAAGGTCAATCTTATGTGTCTATTTTTCTTTTTAATAAAATACATTCTTATAACTTGAACTAATATCTGCATTAACTGTTTCTTGCTAACAATCTGTAAGAACAATATTTAAACATGCTAATAAATTGATTTGAAGTTTAAATGTGAATAAAGCGGCCATGTTGTTGTTCTCTTTGCTAATGCATGGAGGAATCAAGCAAGCCATCCTGGTCAGATAAGCACAACAACAAGGCATCTAGCATCAAGTAAAATGTGGCCGCATTTTGGATATAACTCTATAGGAATCATGCATGGGGGCAGGGCTGTTTGCTACCTTACTGTCACGTTAGCATGTCACTCCCTGGGGCAAAGGTACCATGAAAGAACTAAAACCAAGGTAAATTCTACAGTGTTGGTTATCACGAGGATACATGGGTTGAGTTTGAGTTTTAACGAATTACAAACGTGTTCGTTCCGATAGTTACGTTTTTTCAACAACAAAACGGGTTACTGTGACTTTCTTTGAGCACTTCAGATATACGTTACTTGTAATTTGTTAAATCTGTTAGAGCTGCAACTAATAATTATTTAACTAGGATTAATATGCTGATTTAAACATTCACAACGAGGAAAACTTTCCATCTTCAAAAATGTTTTCTCAGAGCAACAGTCCAATTTCCAATGTGTCTTCATTCACAACCATCTAAAACTGAATAAGCAGTGAATCCTCACAATGTAGAAGCTGGAACGCCAAATGTTTGGCATATTTGTTTAATATAAATACTTTTAAGCCCAAAGCATTGCCATCAGATTGCCTGTTTTGTTAAACCAAAATAAATAAATGATTTCATTTATCATCACAGAAGCAGCAGAACTGAAGAAAACTCTCACAAATGACAAGCTGAAACTTAGGAATAAACAATTATCCATTATCAAAACAGTTGAGGAAATTGCTTTTCTATAATTAACTTATCATTGCAGCTCTAATTAGGTATTTCCTTCATTATTACTAAGGATCCATGATTTCAAACGGCCGCAACAGAACCATTAATGTGCCTGGAGTTGACAAAAGTAATTTCATTTCCAGTGCCATTTTGTTTTTCATACAACAAAAAGTCAAGATCAAACTTAATGTAGTACAAAATCGGCCATACGTTTAACCAATACTCCTTTCAGATCTTTATCTCTGTGCGTGGCATTTTCTGCACCGTACAACATCACTGAACAGAAGCCTACTTCTGCTCTCAGGAAAGTCCCAAACCAACTCATTCATGTACAAAAAATAAAACCCATGTCTGTGCAATATTCATCATCATGTGTGTGTTCCTGTGTGTAGGTGGGTGAACAATTGACTGTACCAGATAAACACTGCGAGTCTCTGACCGTCGGGGGCTCTCTCTGCTACCTGTTCACATCCTGTACAGCCCTCTGACTGTGTGACTGTGTGACTGTGTGTGTGTGTGTGTGTGTGTGTGTGTGTGTGTGTGTGTGTGTGTGTGTGTGTGTGTGTGTGTGTGTGTGTGTGTGTGTGTGTGTGTGTGTTTGTGTGTGTGTGCTACATGTTGTGCAATGAACCAGCCTCACTTTGGACTTCTTGGAAAACACGGTACAGGGAGGAGAAAAACGCCTGAGCTGTTTCACTGCAGCTGTTTTTCTCTCTGCAGTCACTGATGTTCTGTGAGAGCTCTCAGGCTGCAGGTACTCCACAGCTGTTGATAAAGTCGGGGTCAAAGTGTAGCATGCATGCTTCCATATGCATGCTAAAGGAAACATCACGCACACAGGGGTTGGACTAATATCCAGTTGCCAGGACAGAATGTTTGGAGACTTGTTTTATAATACCCTGAAGAAGCCCCCTGCTCTTGAACTCAACACCACCTCAATGCTCACAACAGACAGGCTTGGGGATTACATGTAACAGGATTACATAATCAGGATACAACACATTGTACTGTATTCCCTTACAGTTACATTAAAAAAAGAAGTAATCAGATTACTGTTACATTTTATTTTTAAACGGTATTACAAGCAGGATTACAAAAAAAATTATATTATAGGTGGATGTACTGCTTGTTTTCTTTTTGGTTTACATTTAGGCTACTTTCAAGTCTTTTTTCAAATGCAGTTAGTGAACACCTGATTAGTTAGCAAAAATACCATGTTTAATTAATATATTAAACTAAATCAGCATTGTTTACTATACTATAGGCCTATCCTATAAGAGGACACATCTTAATATATTATTTTCCAAAAGTCACATTGTTCTGTTGTCTTACATAATATACTTAAGTAAAAATCATGTTACTGTAATTTTTTTCTCTTGTATTTATTTGCATTGCATTTGATATTGAAGTAATCCAAAAGTAAGGGAAAGTAATGATTACTTACTCTAAATTAGATACTCAGATTAAATTACATTTTTTATTTTTCATATTAACTAGTAATTGTTACAGATTACATTGTTAAAGTTACCCTTCCAACCCTGACAACAGATTCTATTCTTAGATTGTAATTTTCTGTCCCATAAGCAGGAACAAATCAACACCTAATAAACAAACTTGACCACTGACAGCTGCAGGTTGTCACGTCACTGCACAGAACCACGCATATTTGCAGCCCTGCACGCGACTCTGCTTCCAGTATTTACCTTGAGCAATGGTCACAAGCCATGCATCAAGTCGTGCAGAGTTTCATTATAAAGAGTTGCACTGTCCTTGTCTATCTCGTGACTGTTAAAAGGCGCCCTGTGCACAACATCCCTGCGAACAGCGTCAATTTGAGTGAGCACACACACAGCATCGTCTTACCAGGAACTGTGCAAAGGGGAAGATCTTTAAACAGGAAATGCAACTGACCCTTTTCTAAAGCCATGTAACTTTAAAATGCACCGGCCGAGCTGCAGCGGCTGCATGTTGCAAACCGTGCAGCCGTGATTGCATGATGTCGCACAGTATTGCACAGATCGGTTTCATATTCTTACCTCCCTTTGGCTGAGACATTTCCCCTTTGCTTTGATGAGGGGGAGGGGAAGCACAAAAGACTTTGCCTTCTTTCTCACTCCCTCCCTCCATCGCCCTCGCAATGGAGCTTCAGCGGCTTGCTTTTTTGCAACAAAGATGCAAAATACAAGCCTCGATCTTCATGCACTTGGAGCCTTTTTGCGTCCGGAGCGTGCGTGTCCGTGCACAGAGCGCCGGTGTGATTGCACGGCCCCCGCAGGCGTCAGGAAAACAGGTAATTTCTGCAATTGCACTGCAAAGAATTCTCCGCAGCACTTACATGATGGGCCAAGGCTGGCAGCTGAAAGCTCCTAACTTGGATCAGTGCGAGCCCCTGCGAGAGAACGTTCTTCCTGCTTGGAGCGCAAAGGATAATGGGAAATGGAGTCCAGAGCGTTTAGAGAGCGGTTGTATTTACATTTCTGTGCTGGATTTGTGTGAAGAGTGTAACGAGTGTAAGGAGAAGTAGTGTGTTGTGCAGTGGTTGATAGTACAATTAACTAAAGTAATACACTTAATTAAAAATGTTAGTGTATTTAGTGAATTGTTTTAACTAATTCAATACATAAAGGTGACATTTATAATGTATGTCACCAGTGGTGTATAGTAACTATAGATGAACTCAAGTACTGTACTTAAGTACAATTTTGCGATACTTTACTTGAGTATTTAAATATTTTTGCTATTTTGAACTTCTACTCCACTACAATTCAGAGGTAAGTGGTGTACTTTTACTCCATTAAATGTATAATACCTTTAGTTACTTTACAGATCTGGATGAATGATGTGAAATATAATCAATTGTTAAATCAGACTTTAGTTCCACCTGGAGTAAATTCACAAGCTACCCTGCAGTATACAAAGTCATTCAAACTAGCTGCACCTTTACCAGCTTTGAGAACACTTTAATGATCAATCATTATAAAACATATCATATATATTATTCTGAAATGCACCAATCTGCACAATGACTACTTTTACTTTTGGTACTTTAAGTATATTTTGAAAATAATATTTTTGTACTTTCACTTGCGTAACTTTTTGATTGCAGGACTTTTACTTGTAGAGTATTCATACACTCTGGTATTTTTACTTTTACTCAAGTACAAGATCTGTGTACCTCTCCCACTTCTGCATGTCACCATGAAACCTTCCAAATTGATACATAAAGAACAATTTGATTAAATATGAGCAAAGTGTCATGCATTTCCCAAACAAACATTTGAACATCTAGATCTTATTGTATTTTGTTGAAATGTTAGGATTTTGAGACAGAAGATTTGGGATTTTATCAGTTTAAAGATATTCATGCAATAAAGAATGAAATGTGAAATCAGGCTATGATAAATAAACAAACCCATGTGTAAGAACATCCAGAATATGTTTTAGATGCTGAGAGTTAGTCGTCAATCTAATACTTACATCCAGTGAATTTATGGTACATCTACATAAGCAAATATAATAAGTTAGTAAAATAAACAACTAAATGTGTATTTGGGAGTTTTTTTTTCCACTAGTCTATCTGTTTGTGTACTTTTTGGTGGTTTAATCTTACAATGCATAACATATTGTATATACAATTTAAAATCTATTGCATTCCTGCAGTTTTTCCTAACCTGATCGAGAGTACAGGGTGACATATTATAAAACCCTACTAAGAGCCTAATTTCGGGTTGTAATTCAAATGGACTTGTCTTAAATGAAATGAATAATTTTTGTGTCTGGTGTTGAGGTGACGATTACATGAAATCACAGGGAAAATATTCAGTTTACTTTCAAAGTTCAGTAAAAATCTTTATTATCAGGTAACATTGATTAATGCAAAAGTGAAACTAAGTAATGACTTTAATGAATGAATGAATGACAAGTTACTCTGACAGCTACAGTACTCTGGTGTGAAGGCTTACAGTATACGAGTAGTTTTATAAATACATTAAAAGTAAAGAGTAAAAACGGGCCTGTTGGAGCACCTGAAGTTCAACAGGATCACATTTGGTGCCCAGAAAGCACGGATTTAGTGATTTTTTTTTAAATCAGCAAATTGGTGCTTTCAGGGTGATGAATGACAACTGTGACCCCTTAATTGCAAATTAGGGATATTAGCACCAATATTACAAACAAAAATACAAATAAAATGCAACAGGAACAGAACCGCAAACATTAAAGATGCAGCTGGTGATATTACATATTTTTCTTTTTGACAACAAATTCCATGAAAAGACCAAAACCGACAGTGTTTTTTAGGTTTACAGCACCAAGAACATCAGTTCTAAGTGAAAGCCTTACAGACAGCTTACAAATAAAGACTCTAATAAAAACAAATAGAAAGACATTGTAATGCTCTTAAACATTTGGGCATTGTAGATTACTTGCAAAAAACCAGCCTTTCAGTGGCGGATTGATCCATATGTGATGCTCTGGTGAGTGATTGGGGCAGCAGGACGTGGATGTGTGATTGAGTCAACAATACTAAAGGGAGTGTGGCTCTTTGATGTGTTTTTAATAGTTTTTGGACAACAATGGAGCTCTAGGGCACATCAGACTTTGATCAATGGGATTTAAAAAATATATAATAACACCAGACTTATCCTTTGAAACATGTTCCAATATTTAAAAATGCTCTCAAGCAATAATACATAAAGCTTTGGTGTGGTAATTGCCCAATGAAACAGCAATAACATGAGACAAGACAAATGATCCAAACATCACGCTCAAAGAGGTTTCAGATCCCCACGATGTGATATGAGATGTTGCTTCACATGGTTGGATTGTGTTTGGTAGAGGGTCAGTTCTTGCTGGTTATGAGGCTTTGGTACAGAGGTTTCACCACAATATGGAGGAAGAGGGAGCTGTCGATGAGGTATTCAGACGTCCGGCGGTACAGGTCGGCTTCAGCCAAGAAATCCCCATTTTCTTCCGTGCTCTGGTGGAAGTTGTAGACGTGTTTCACCACCACCTTCCCCTGCTGCTGAGCCATCACAATCACCGTCTTCTGGAAGTTAACTCCGGCGAATTCTGCGCTGGACGTGGCCGGCGTGATAATGATGCGAGGGCGACCTCCGTCCACACGTGTCGGCTGCATGGCGCCCGAATCTGTGTACATCGGCCTCATGCTGAGGGGTAACCAGCGCGGCGAGAACAGGGCGTTCCAGGTCACCCGCTTGCTGGAGTCGTGCCCGCTGGGCCCTAGCTGCGTCTGGAAGCTGGTGCTCCGATCGTCTCGTGAGGGGTTGTTGATGATCCAGGGAGACCCCCACACTGGGGACAGGTAGTTCCTAGGCATGAAGAGGCTACAGTTCACATCAAAGTACTTGGCCATTTGCATTGGTGACGCAGAGTGAAACTGGTAGGACATGTAGAGCAGGTCGCGCACCGACTCTTGATAGCGAGCCAAGATGGCCGACTGGGTCTGCAGGCGGAAGAGCTCTCGTGGCGGCATCATGGCGTAACGCACCGCTCTCAAAGCGTTCTCCGCTGTCAGACCGTCCGGCTCATTCTGAATAATCCAGGCCTCTAGCCCGGCAAAGAGCTCCATCTCGCTCTGCAGGATCAGGTCTGACCGCTGAAGCAGGGACATGAGCAGCTGGCTGCTGATGGTCACCCACTCCCCGCTCTGCAACACCGACGATAGGTTCCACGCCATAAACTGAATGCAGCTGTCCCTCAGAGTCACGTCCCCGGCCTGCACGGCGTACTCATACCATCCCGCCACGTGGCCTGAGGTGGACTCCCGGGCCAGATTCTGGGTCATGTACTGGGTGATGCCCTGCTGGAGGCCTGTCACTTGGTACTTAGTGGCCAGCTTGTGTAAAGGGGTGGCCTGGTCCAGACGCAGTGAAATCTCTCCGCAATACAGATACCTGCTCAGAAAGAGGAAGAAGGGGTTTCAAGGTGAAGCATTTGAATCAACAACATACATACATTCAGAATGAGACCATTTAGCCTAAAACAGCTAGTTGGAAAATGTTTTACCAACATCAAGACCCACTATTCTTGGACTGCAACAGTATTTTTGCCATTTGGGGGCAAAAGAACGCCACAACAAGCTAAAGAACACAACCTAGCACATTATCACATGCTAATATGCTAGCAAACAGTTGCATATCTACATATCCAGCAGGTAAAGCAACGTAATCATCCAAATGCAGTTGTTTCTACCTGATGAATGTAAAGCGCCATCCACACATGGAGTACAACCCTAAAACGATCTAGACATGGTGATAAGAGTTCAACATTTAATCTCTTTTAGCTCTGTTTTGGTTTCAACCAACTCCTGAGAATTAGGTGTGGTTATGGCTGCTACATGCTAACTTTGTCTAGCATTTGGTACTCGGTAGGTAGTGTCCAGTGGGTTTATTATAGCTTCTTTGCTGAAAACAAACTGCTTGCTGGTTCTGCAGACAGAACAAAACTGTTTTTGTGCTATTAAACCTAAAACAAAGAGCTAAATACTGCTGAAAATATACCTACAGCTGCAGAGTTTGGTCATAATTCTCTGTTTGATTCATTGTTTTTATGAAAATAGATAGAGTGCAATTTTACAGAATTGTGTTTCTGTCAGACTGAATTCCATCAAAGTAATCTCACAGCATCCTCCTCTTCAAAAAGTTACCGTTGACCCTTTATGGCATTCGGGGAAAAGGTGTAGTTTTATTTTGTTACAATGAATGAATGCAGTCTCAGTCTCAGTCTCAGTCTGGCAGATATCATGTCTACTGTAATACAGGTTTTAGTCAAACTCATTAGCATTTGAGATAAAAATAGATAGTTTTATTGATTGCTCCTGCAGCACAGGCTCCTCAATGTCTTATTGCTACACCACAGGAGCTGCTATTGAGCAACCCAGCAGTTCCCTGATTGGTCAATTTGTTTTATGTTGGACTCATTGATTGTTTGTCTCGGTTAATGTAGGGCTGCAGTTGCAGAGTTCATTCCTCTAGGCATAATGACTCAATGAAACTGGGTGAAGCAGGGGGTGGAAGTGACTCTCACACAGTCTGACATATTGAGATGAAATGTGTCCCCACCTGATGAACTTATCAAACACAGCTGCACAGTCGGAGCTCTCCTTCAGGACCAGCTTGCTGCTGTTGCGGCTCAGCAGGATCTCCTCGAACACGGGGCTCTGCAGGGACAGCACCAGAGAGTGAGCCTGGATCACCTTCACCTCGTCCGCGCTGGGGGTCTCCACCCGGAGAGACAGGTCACTGCCGTTCCCCTGAATCAGCAGCGCCTCCAGACGCTGCACCAGGGTCAGGGAGTGGCTGATGGTGTCCCCGCCCCCCCCATTGCCATCCGAGGTCATGTCAACTTTCAGCATGCCTGGTGGAGGGGGAAAGGAGGAGGAATAAATAGAGTTATCAGATTGGAAAACAAGTTAGATTAAAGCAAGGTTCCAAAACAGAATACTTAAATGTACCATTTATTTTTTCTATTATGTTTTGGGGGTTTTCCCTTTACCTTTAGTGTGTTATCTAGGTTTTTGTGCATGTAAATGGTCTGCAAAGGCTAAAATCCCAAAGTTCTCGCGGGAGTTTCTCTCCCACACACTCGCCCCCTGCCTGAAACACCTCCATTGGACTCCTTTGTTTACCTCTGTAACATAACGACATCACTATGTAACACTCACGCTTCTATTGGCTAGCGCTCCAACACATTGTACGTGATAGGCTAAAGGGTCGGACATCTCTAAGCGGATGACCAATCACAACAGAGCAGGCCAGCTAACCAGTCAGAGCAGACTGGGCTCTGGTTTCAGACAGAGGGTGAAAAGAGGTGCTGCAGCACAGGCAGTATGAGAAAAATAAAGAGCTTTTTGAACATTAAAGCATGGAGACATGTCACAGTGAAACATTTGAATCATTGGGCATCTTTAATGTTCAAGTTCGCAACTGTTTACACATTTTATATAAATATATATATATATACTTTTGCTTAAAAAATAACTACATTCATGTTTACATTTAGTTTCAATTTATTTACAATAACTGACTTATATAACTTTTTAATTAATTTACATTTTTGTTAATTGACCCTTTACTATTACTTGCTCTTTTCTTTATAGTCTTCTCATGATTAAACATATTTAATTAGCATTTTTAAAGGTAGCCTAAGCATTCAGATTCTTATTGCTAACGACTTATTTTGCATTTGTTGTGAATATGACAAATGCAGAACTTTAACTTGAACGTTTTTTTATTGGAGTGTGCAGGAGTTGCATGCCAGTTATAAATTGGAGCAAATAGTGGGGCAGCATCACCCAATACCATGCCATTGATCAGTCCAGCTGCACTGTCTGGATAATGAGGCATTGTGGGTCACGTTTAATTAAAGCTTTGTTGCAGCTGATGCGGTTGTGCGCCCGGGGGGGGGGGGGCACCTCCTCTTCCCTGCACACTGCACTGTTACTGTTACTGCTGGGATCAGATTCTTGGTTTGTTTTAGCACAGTGTGATTCCTCTGTATCTCTTCCTTTCACTTTGATAAAAACATTACATAAACTCAGTTATGGGCCATAAGTAAAAAAGTTCATAACAGTCTGTCAGCTTTTACGTGTCAATTAACAGACGTACATAAACTGAAGTTACCTTATTAGGGATTGTGCAGAATTAGGCAAAAACTTGCACTGCTCTTCCAAAAACAATCAGTCCTTTCTGACCTACTTTCCTTCCAGTTCAATTTTCATATTGCCATTTCTGTCACCATATTCTGCAGGTCTTTTGCAGAAACATAAATGTTCCCACTGTAGGATGAATAAAGTCATTCTGATATTTTAATTTTTCTTTCTTATACAACTTCATGTTTTAGCTTGTTTTCATATTCTAGTCTCTTGGATTTTTATGGCTGATTTTAATATTTAGAATTCAAATGGTCATCAGTGGTGTGTGGTATTTTTCGCTTTGTTTGTCTTGTTGCTGTTGATGATTTAATGTGAAGCACTTTGAATTGCCTGATTCATTTAGCTGACGCTTATATCCAAAGTGACTTACAATAAGTGCAATAAACCATAAAGATTCAAAAGAAACGTGCTTATATATTAGCTTCAAAAAGCCAGACCATTGTAAGTGCTGGTTCATTAATTCAACTTGAGTGCTACTTTTCGTTGTGTTGAATTGAAATAGATGTGGTGTATAAATGAACCTGCCCTACATTTGATTTCCTTTAGCAGAAAGTATTACCAAAAAACAAGTCACAGTTTACAAAACTCTTTAAATGCACCACTGAAATAAAATACATTCATTTTCATGACATGAGTACATCCACTATTACTATTATTAGTTGAAATGACTCATCAAAAACTAATTTGCAATACTGCCTGTGGCCCACACACAGTAAGTCTTTGTGTAGCAGCATATTAAATGAAGCATAACTAGATCAGACTGCAAATGATTCCTCCTGTTATTGATGTTGGAGCATTATGGCCCTAACTCACCTGCAGTAGCTGCTCCCATGTGCAGACAGAGAGCCACAAACAGCATCCCAGCCTGGGTCTGAACGCCTTGTTGCACCATTGTCTTCCTCCGTCCGTGCCCACTGTGCGTCTGGATTCCTGTCCACTCTGCTGTGGAGGGTGAGGGGGTCTGAAAGTGGGACAGGGGGTTCTCCTCGCTACATCCGGCCCGCCACACACACACACACACACACACACACACACACACACACACACACACACACACACACACACACACACACACACACATCGATCGAAACAGGCCTGGGTTGTTTCCATGGCTACCACTTTGATTCTGACTTTCCTATCCTTGGGTATTAATGCCTGCTGCATATCATTGATCTGATGAGGGGGCCGCGGCGGGGGGGCTCGGTTTGATGTTGAGAGTTTGATTGAGTAGAACATTATTTGATGTACACATCTCACTGTGAGCTGTGGCCAGGACTGACGCTTGATCAGGAACCAGTGGTGGAATGTAACTAAATAAACGTACTCAAATACAAAACAAACAACTTAAAGGTACTTATTACTCCTTGCAGCACAGCGGTAAAAAAAACGTGTCTTCAAACCAAAAACACAAAAACATCACCAGCTGATACAATCACAGCCTTGATCACTTGACTGTCAACGAGGGAGTGGTATTTAAACGCTCATGTGGAGAACAATTAATAAACATTTATTTTATATACAGTTTCTATTCAAAATATACTATATTTTTTTATAACTGACTATAAAGCATATACCAAAAATCATCACCCAAAACTGTGTAACGCCGTTTAGCAAACTTATTTCCAACTCATATTCACGTTTAACTTTTATTGTTTTTAACTTATTTACAAAAAATTCAACCAATTTTGGAGAAAGGCAAGTCATATTTTGACTATATATGGTTAAGATTAAAGGAAAATATCTTGACGGTATCAGGTACTGATATATTTGTGTGGTAATTAGATACAATGAACCCTTATTCCGACATAAAAACATTTGGAAATGGGTCACATTTCAGTTAAAGACAACAGAAAGGTTAATATAATACTTTATATAATCCTGAATTGGGCCATTATGCAGTGTGAGTACTTACTTTTGGTACTTCAAATATACTTTGATGCTAATTATTGTGTACTTTTCGAAGTCAAATTTTGAATGCTGGACTTGTAACATTTGAGTATTTCTACCCAGTCAGATTAAGTAAAGATTATGAGTAATTATTCCCCCTCTATGGACTACCACTGTTCAGAATCCAGGCTGTAGTTACAGACAGTTATGTGTGTCAGTGTGTTCACCCAGTTCAGAACATGTGCGTGACACAGCAACACAAGCAATTTATTCACAGCTTCAGGCTACAGCGTGCTTCATTAAGGGGGGGCTTAGTTATATGATCAATATTCCTCACTAATTTATTTGGGCTTAAATCCTCCTGAGTGTTAAGGGAAATATGCCTCACAAACACAGAATTAAGCCCTGTTCTAGAAGAAGTGTCATCGATAATGACCCTCAAGTTGATATCTGTGCTGTTTAAGTTCATGATCTGCTTCAGTGGGGCCATGTGAGTGTTGTTGACCCCCGCCTGTGAGTATGGATCATACAGTATATGTGTCGATGTTGATCCCACAGCATGAGTTCTCCTATCCCCGTCTGACATAAAGGATCTGTGTGTGTCTGGATGCTAGCCAACAGGTCAGCAGTGGCTGTTCACTGTGTACTTTTAACATACATGCCCCTTTTTATATTTCTGTAGGCAGTCAACACTATAAATTTAGCTTGAAAAAAAACAAACAATGTAAAAGTTAATTTATGGATTAAATAATCGGTTATTTGAACCTTTGACATCTACTTTCTTTATGTGTTCATTAAGTCATTATAGTTGTAGTCTTTTGTGTCCATGTTTCCTATGAGATTTGGTAAACTGACTTTTCTAACAGGATTGTTTGTAACAGGATTCCAAAATGACACTAAGAACCAGTGTAACTTTGTTTTTTATGACGACAGCATAATGTACAGAGAATAATACTCATCTACCGCCTGAGATACTAGTTGTATTAACACGTCATGTCCACTAAAGGGCAGACAAGCTGCATCTCAGCAGCAGTCAGGAACCAAGCACTGAACATGTGTCACATGATACTTTTGAACTTTTTCAAGTAATATCGTCATTTTATGTTTTGAATTGCAAAAGTTACAAAAGTGACATTACATGAAATGGTGACGCCACAAGACAACTAAAGGATGTGAAAATGACCGTTAAAGTTGGGTTTTTGTTGGGTTAAATCAGGTGTTATATTGATATACATCAACATGTTAAAATGGTTGGGATGTGCAAATGAAAAACATGAAAACACACATGAAGCAGTCAAAGAGTTGTTGGCTATCCTCAAGCAAGTGCTCATTACACATTTCAGAAAACTGTGCCAAGTTTGACCTATTTGATGTGATTTTTTCAAACAGTAATGAGAAATAATATGCAAGAGAATACCTCAGTGTTTGCCATGAACAAGCTCATCATTTTGCTAGAACAATGTAGTAAATATATTTAATTTCTTATATCCATGAATATCTAAAAAAAAACATTACATTGCAGAGTTTAGTATTAAAAATGACACTTTTACCCATTATGTGATTCATTTAATCCAGCACATTCTTCCCAAAGCAAGTTATCTGCAGACACACCCACATCCTGACACTTTATTATCTGTATCTGTGATGAGCTTAAGCCGCAGTCATAATGTGTGATTGTGTCGTTACGGTGGATTGAATACTGAGAGTTCATTCTTTAACTTAGCAGCGGCGGAGCTGACCCACTGAGGTGATTATGTAGACATTAGCGCTTGTTTGTTTTACTCAAATAAGTCAGGCACTGCTTTGGTAAGATTTGAACAAATTGTAGAACAATCAAGACAACAAGACAACCAGAAGATGATGGCAGGACTCAGTCAGTCACAGTATACATTCAGTGAACTCTGGGAGAAGATTGAAGAAAATACACAATTAAAAACATTTATGGTACTAAGAGAAAGAAAATGTAAATGTTAACTTTCATAAACATTCAAAATCCTTCTTTCTAGGTGCCAAGTTAACAATTAAAGAGGACATCAATTGCAAATGTTCAGGTTCATATTTGTATTTTGTGCATCTGTGACCATGCTTTAATGTTCAAAAACTCTTTATAAATCTCATACTGCCTGTGCTGCAGCACCTCTTTTCACCCTCTGTCTGAAACCAGAGCCCAGTCTGCTCTGATTGGTTAGCTAGCATGTTTCGAAAATGTCCCGTCCCTTAGAGAGAAACTTAGCCTTTGCAGACCATTTACATGCTTAAAAACCTCTATCACACAATACAGAAAGTGAAAACCCCCAAAAAGCACAATAGGGCCCCTTAAAAACAATGGAATAGACCCTTTAATTAAATAGATTTGCATGAATGATTTTTAATTAAAGGAGAGGTGTCATGGCCATTTCCACTGATCATAATTCCATTGTTGAGGTCTACTAAAATAGATTTATATTGTGCATTTTTCCAAACTCACATTGGTTTCTCATACAGCATCTCTGTAAACTACTTGTATTCACTGAATTTCACTATCTGCCTTTAACGGCTCGTTGTAGCTCCAATAGCTCCAGCCCCCACCCTCCCTGTGACCACAGTGTGCTCTGATTGGTCGGGACGTTGTGAATCGCGCTGAGCTCCGTGGAGGTGTTGTTTCCTTGTTTAGGATACATAGCGAAACACAGCCAAACTCATCCTGAGCACACACAAACTCACATCCGAAGTAAAAACAATAAGTGTGGCTTGATATTGAGTAAGAAAAAGGTTGATAAACGCTGTGAGAATGGGTCTGCAGAGAGAATTTTGCCGCGATCCCAACTGTCTGTTATCAGCCTGCAGCCAGGGAGGAGAAATCAGCTGAGCTGCCTGCTCCCTGCACACAGATGTGTGTGTGAGGAAGTCCGTGGATCGGTCAATTTGGACCAATCAGCGGGGGCTTAACGTAACGGCTCCGCGGACGTAACGTAACGGCTCTTCGGGATTGGTCCATTTCGTTCCGGGTACCGCTTGACATCATGCCGTACCCGGAACGAACAGGCCTGGCATATGTACTACAGCGTCTCCAGCGCTTTCGAGCGGCAATGGCCGGCCGTGGCCCAACCCCACATTCCCCTGATAGGTGGAGAGTTGGCCCAATAGCCGTAGCGCCACTTTCCTGACGTCAGTAAAGTGTTCAAATCTGGATCAGTTTTTATCAGCAGCCCCTTTTTTAGAAATTTGGGTATGGAGGAAAATAGAGAGGGTTGTGTTTTCTGACACTTGGTGAGTTCCCTGGAACACCGGGGACACATATTCATGTATAAAAGACGTACAAAAGTGCATTTTGCATGATAGGTCCCCTTTAAGTATTGCAGATATTATAAAAACAACTGAACTTTAGGGGATATTTTTTAATTAATGTGTTTTGTGCAACCTACCGCAGGAGATTTAAACATTTTGTCTTAACCTGCAATAAAAGGAACAGTGGTTTGTTGCACAAGTGAATATTTTGAGATGAGAGTATTTTGTGTAAGCAATAATGTTTTAAGGGAAGATGAACCCGGACTTCAGGGAAAATCCCAGGAGTTTTAGACATTTTAATTAACCTGCAAAAAAGCTTGCTTCTCTACATTAATAATCATTATATTTAAATGCTATCAGTTATTTAAATTGTATTCTATCTGTACAAGCTACCGTCTCAGTGACACGCTCGGGTTTATAAGGTGACTTCCGTCTGTCAAAGGACGTTTGATTGGTGTTGATCATGGTGATGAATATTAACTCCGGCATTAAATTCTTGATGCAGGATCAATTAAGTTTATCCCCTCATATCCAGCCTGATTCATTCCCCCTGCGTCATCCACCTCTAATCTAACAGCTCTGATTGATCGCGAGTCATGTCTTTGCATGATCGTTGCACCAAGGATTTGTATTTGCCTGACCCCTGCTGCAGTGTAAAGTCAGAGGATTTATGCTGCATGTCAAATAAACACTTAAAATGGTATGCAGCCGCAGGAAGCCAATTGGATCGTAGCGAGCGCACGCTGGCCCCATGTTCGGTTTGTCAACAGATGGATGAATTAGTTCTTCAAATCTGCTCCTTTAATGCACTGTTTGCTTTGCAACTCGGCTATCTCAACAATTTGAAATCATGTAATGTGGTCTCTCGAAGGGTTTAGCTACATTTAGGACACATTTGTCTTGTGCTACAGTGTACCTGTACAAGATCAACTGATCTCAGCATTTCTCCTGCTTGTGATAGTGTTATGTTAAACTGCTGTTTAGAAAACAGGCAGGACATTGGAAAGTTGCTGCTGCTGGGTGCCCTTATTATTAGTTCCCTGCTTGTGTTTGGTGTGTTTCTGAGTTTGTTTTGGTCACATCCTGGGGCCCACCTACGATTTGGGGACAAAAAGTGGTCAGGTAACTGTTTTTGTTAATGATCCTAATGGGATGTGTATGTGTGTGTGTGTGTGTGTGTGTGTGTGTGTGTGTGTGTGTGTGTGTGTGTGTGTGTGTGTGTGTGTGTGGTGTGTGTGTGTGTGTGTGTGTGTGTGTGTGTGTGGTGTGTGTGTGTGTGTGTGTGTGTGTGTGTGTGTGTGTGTGTGTTAGTATAATCCCAGTGAGACCTTAATGAGGCTCATGCCGACCTCAGTGCACACCAACACTGTGTCTCAATTCCATGTTATGTACGTACCATATGTTCAAAATTGATACTGTACAGTACAAGTTGTGTGAAATCAAATGTGTATCAAACAGCAACAGTGACAAGCAGATGCAAACTTCATTTCGTTTGATAGGTTCCTAGACTTTAACAGTGTTTCTTATGGAATGTATTTTCTCCATTTCTTTGTGCATTGCTTTGTGGGACAATATTATGTGACAATCACTGGGCTAATACAATCAAGCAATTTATTTTTAATTTGCATGTTGACTGTTTATGGCACTAACTTACATTATATTGACTCTTGGGACGACAGTGTGGGTCTGTCAGTCTGTCCACCACTGTTGTCTGGAATAAAATATTACCTCTTAATTTAGGGTAGTGGTGGTCTAATGGATAGTGAGGTAGGCTGAAGATTGGAAGGTTGTGAGTTCAAATCCCGCCTGGAACATCACCACTAGTGTGCCCTTGAGTAAGGCACTTAGCCCTCAGTTACTCCAGGGAGAATGTCCCTATAATTGGTAATTGTAAGTCGCTTTGGATAAAAGCGTCAGCTAAATGAAACATAATGTAATGTAGTACAGACAAATGTATGGTCCTCCTAGTGGATGCATAGTATGTTGACAATTGACTAGCGGTACCGAGTTGGGCCGGGCTTTTTAGTCCCAGTCCGCCCCTGCACAACACAAAATACATCTCTGGTCTCACACAATACACGTCACCAACACCAGAATGAGGTGAAAAGCATTGAACCAGGTGAAAATCATTACACGTCTGGGCATGTTGAGAGCTGCTATTACACAAAAGGGGAGTTAGTCGGTTCCGTAAGAGCCAGCATGCGGGAACGGCTGTACAATGTTTCGGTGAGTGTTAAACGAGTGTAATGTGTAACGTTAATGTCAGCTAGCTAACATTAGCTAACAAGTTACACTCCCGCGTTTTGTTTTAGCAACTAGTTTTCTGTGTACCTTGTCCTTGCCAATATCAATGTTATCCACAGCATACACAGCGATCACGCAGTTCTTAACGAGAAAACTAGTTGCTAAAAGAAAACACGGGAGTGTACCTTGTTAGCTAATGTTAGCTAGCTGACATTAACGTTACACATTGCACTCGTTTAACACTCACCGAAACCTTGTACAGCCGGTCCCGCATGCTGGCTCTTACGGAACCGACTAACTCCCCTTTTGTGTATTTGCAGCTCTCAACATGCCCAGACGTTTAATACTTTTCGCCTCATTCTGAAAGAAAGAGGTGAACTGTGCCAAGGTGACGTGTATTGTGCGAGACCAGAGATGTAGTTCATTGAGCGGTTTCACACAAAAATAAGTGTTACTTCACAGTTTTACGACAAACTTTTTTTTTCTTGACTTGCAAAATTATCTTTCAAATTGACAAACATCATATGTGTAATTCATGGCACAATTCAAACGGGATCGAAAGATAACTTTTCTCTCGCCATTGACTTCAATACATAATCTTTCCGAAATAAGGTCCCATGGAGTTCCACCGGAAAGGGAGGGACTTCGGCTCTCTATAGAGTTTTGGCCCACGCATATAAAAAGAGAAGTATATCACCAAAAAAGTAGAAGAAAAATGTGTATATCTGTTACTGAGGTCAACTGTTACTTACAGTGAGTTTGGGTGAAGTTATATTAATACTTCTTACAATTCAGTAAGGTGCATGGATACATTGTATTCTAAGTGGAATACAAATGCTACAATTTGACATTTAGTACTTAGTACATATAGTTAAAGTGAATACATAGTATGGAATTTGGAAACATTGATCTGCATTCTGACAGCTTTGTGTTTATGTATTTTGACTCTTTTCCAGAATATGTATTGGAACACAGCCCGACATTTTGTAACCCTTATCTGACTTTATATTGTTTTCCATCAGTATTTCCTGTCTCCTCTTGGTACTCTCCTCTTTTTCATATTCTTCCTCAAGTCATCACCTCCACAGATCAGCCCCTCCCTCTCTCCCGCTCCTCGCCCTCTCCACAGTGTCACTCCCCTCTACCTCCTTTCTCCCCTCTCCCTCCGCTCACTCGTTGCAGTGATGAACCAGCTGCTTGGACTCCACTTCTCCTCCTCCTCCTCCTCCCCTTCTCCGTCCTCCTCCACGTCTCCTCAGCGGGTGTCCAGCAGCGATGTCGGGGACTCTGTAGCAGCATTGGGGGGAAGGACAGAGCAGAGGACCGCTCGGGCTGTAAACCAGGTGGAAAGTCGCAGAGAGAACTGGATGTGAAGGTAAGACTGTGAGAGTGACCATACAAAGCCAAATAAACTATTTCCATTCATTGTTTATGCACAAATGTCTGATCTACTCTGTTGTAAAAGATGACATGTTTCTGTTTCTTGTGCAATCAGCGCTGTTACACATCATTTACTTCAAGAATGGTACAAGGTACAGTCTTGTTATAAAGTTATTCAGGGAAGCAGGGTGTCTGGACATACTCACTTCCAATTGTTTAATAATGGGCATTGCCTTGAACTCTGTCTTTTATATTGAGAACATTTATTTATCTCAAGTGTTTTCTTGTTATATGACACCCAGTGAAAGTCACATTTGTCATCATATTAGCCTGTCATTTCTGCCAAATGCACTTCTGGATTATGTCTTCCTAACGAGGATCTTGGCCTTATGGATGATCTTTTAACAGCATCATGATGAAGACATTTATTTGAAGTTGCTACATTAAGATACATCAAAAACCTGTAGTCCAGCTTCCAAAATAAAAACAAAAGTAACTCCTACTTTCTTGGTAAACAACAAGAATGCATCCCTCCTTGTTCCCATGTGAAACACTGATATGTTTGCTGTATGGCCACGCTTGCAGCACCCTTTATCTCCCCAGCGCTGTTGTTTCAGGTGCACGGTCCCTTGATGAATTATTAAGAGGACACAGTGGAGCATAGATAAAGTTCAGTCCAGCTTCCTGGGCACTGAACCCCTGCAGAGCCCCGTCCCATAGCCTCCGGCTGCGTCTAAACCCTGGGAAGAATCTTAATCAGAAACATGCCTCGGCCTCTGATCTGCAGAGCGGTGGATCAGCTGTCCTGGTTAAAGGGACAGTTCTCATGTTTTGTATGAGGACTTATCCATTGTCAGTGTATTGCCTACAGTAGATGGAGGTTGGAACAGCCTACGTTTGGAGAAACAGGCAGGAGTTACCCCATTGAAGATAAGCAAAATAATATTATTTGATATTTGAGCAACCCATTCAAACTCATTTTGACGTGTTGAAGAAGGTAGGACTGCTGCCAGGACAGCTCAGACTACAACAACAGAAGTGGCATCATATGAAAGATATTATCACTATGCTCCTCAGTACTTTTTAGCTTCTCACATAACAATGGTAAAACCTAAGTATACCAGGACAAGGACCAGTGTGTGTTTTCTTAACTGCCTCCAGTAAACATTTTAGTCAGAAGTATTTTATGTAGTTTTTAGTCTTTCATCAAAAAAGATTGTCTAAAGAAATTAGGTTAGGGTTTATTTTTGGACCAGGGTAACAGTTTTATAGTAAAATGTCCAATGATATTTTTATTATTTTAGCTGCCTTATTTTTTTATAGGAGTAAATTGTATTTTTCTTGGAATTTATAGATTGTTTTTAGTTGTTTTCATGTTGGATGTCTAGTGCTTGGTTGTGTTTTCTTGGTACTGTAACAATTGGGAACATTCTTTGTTAAGTGTTGTCACTTAACAAAGAATTTGTCGTTTTTGCTAGTTTTCCTTGGGATAATCCATAATAAAATTCAATCAGCCAAGCAATGCTGCTGAGCAAATGGGCAGTGGCAAAACATATGTGAGCAACCTCAAATAAATCAATATCAGTGTCGATTACATCGCTAAGTAGGTGTATGTTTTTATTCAAATTTGGTTAGCAGGATTACCAAAGTCACGCATAACACATAAAAACTGCAAACAGTTGAGTCAACAGTAGAACAGCAACTCCTGTATTCTGCAAGTACTGTTGGTAATAAACTGAATATGGATCATTTCCTATCCTTTTAGAGTCGACTTACTGTATGTTCTTTTAGGAGGGAGTCTCCAGAGGATTCCGCCTGTTGACACTTGACTGGAGCAGTGCGATACGATTGCCATGTCAAGACCCCTAACTTCCCTTGAGAAAGAAGACTTTAGTGGACTTAATCAAACACCTCTAATGCTCCTTTCCCACTTAAAATCTATAGCACCCAGGGGACTGAAAATGGCGATTAGACGCAGGAAACTTCCCCGAGAATAAAGTGTGATGAAGAGTAAATAGAGGAGAGAGATAACTCTCCCAGCTTCAAGATTTCATTTGCACTTTCAGGATTAAGGAGGATCTCTGCCGGTATTATAGAAGTGGCTGCAGGAATATTGATTGTTCAGTGTAATTAGTGCTCCCTTCTGCTGTGTTTTCGCTGGCAACTTCACAACCTTCTCATTTATAATGATCATCTTTCTTACCCCTGGACCAGAGATGAGGCCTGTGAAGAAGCATGTCCTGTTTCTGAAAGAGGCCGCGCTATACTCCCTTTCTGGTCTGCTAGCCATTTTCCCCATTTTTTAAAGTAAATCTAAGCGGCATTTGTGTTAGAAGGTCATTTTAGTTTATTCAGACTAGGCTTTTAGAATTATTTCCTATTTAATCCTTACACAACTGCTTATTTACTCCATGGAGTAGCGATTTAGCAGCTAATAATGCTAACATGCTAGAACATAAAAAAAGAACATTTTACTGTTGAAAATGAAACTGAATTATTTTCTTTTACTCTTTTCTGACACTTTAAACCACTGACACTTTGACTACTTTCACTTGTTTTACTACTTTTATCAAGCTGCCACATAAGTACGTCTCTAAGGTCAAACATTGTATGTACTGTATGTCTGCTCTAAACCTCCTATGGGAATAGTACTCCTATTAATACTGAATAGGATATCGTATCTCAGCACATGTGATGTTGTTACGTAACCAAGAGTGAAATAGGAGAACGTCTTACAGGTAAACAAGGCAGCAAAAAGCACAATAATAACAATTTGGAAACAGATGCTGCGAAATCTAGGCTTACATCTTTTTGCAAATTCTGAAGAAGTATACTTTTGATGGACTTATTGTAATACTTTGTGCTGAAGGAAACGCTCTGACTTTTAATGTAGATAACTGTGACTGGGGTTAAAAAAAAAAAAAAAGAGGTTAAGAATGATCTGTCAAACTGACCTTTTCATCCAACAAGTAAAAGAAGTTCCTAAATGTTTGTACACCTGCAATTCCATGACATATGTCTAAAGTCAAACATCCAGTCAAATAATTTCCATAACATTCCCATTTTTATCCAGTTTCTTTACACATGGTTTTACAATAACACGCATATCAGATAAAACAATTCAATTCCACGGTTAACATTAGCATTATTTAAAAAAATTGAACAAACAAGACTGAATTTCACACATTTCAGATAGAACAGCTAAGACCTTCATGTGCCTTTGTCTGGTGACGTCAATCAAGGAGCCAGATTTATCAGTTGTTAGATGAGATGTGATGTCTCCTGTGACAAATCTCCCACTCCTGTAGGCCAACTCTGACATGTGAAGACAACAATGCATCATTCTTCCTGATCTCACTTCCCCATCATTCAAAAATATAACTTTAACCATTTTCAGGTGGCTGTTCGCTAACTAATGGCCTGAGTATACTTTACAGACCTTTTTCATTTCAACAAAACAGCATATAGGCTACTTAATTTAGCCGTTTCTGTTGAACTGATTGCTTTCACTACATGACTTCCTGCTATTTTATTGTGAAATGAAATCAGCCAAACACTAGGATATTTTTTCAATTTTATGATCACATTCCAGCTAAAAGTCGGAAAATGCTCAGGTCATATAATCACATGCAGGGATTTTGCACAAATAGCCTTTACTATCACGGTGATTAAATATGACCAACTGTTAGAAGTAGTGATTGCCCCGCTCACATAATGAGCTCAGCTTCACCTATTGGGTGTTTCATGGCTCCACGATGATGTTGACGTTGGTTAAGCATCCACAAATGGTTTGCCAGTGAAAGCTTAAGAGATAACACAGTCCAAATACAGCTTCATGGATGAGTGAAGTAAATTAGGAGAGTAGGCAGAGGAGAGACAGACAGAGAAAAACAGGATGGATGGCTAGCGGGTGAAAAGGTTAGACAGGGAGACGGGACGATAATGACTCCTGTAAGGATGGAGGGGGACAGGGTCATCGCTGTCAGCCCATCTGCTGTTGTGCACCTGCAGTTTAATTGACTGAGTCCAAATGTACCCACTTTTTGTTTTCCACAGTTTGTGTCAGAAAAACAGCAACAGCTCCGTAAAGCAAACATGAATCACGCCACTTATAGTAAAATGCAAGATGCAGAAATAAAAAGCAGGTCATCATCTGCAAAGGTTTGACACTTGATATTGTTGGGTTTCTGTAAATAGTATTATGAAGATTAAAAACCAGCTTCTGTTATGATTAGGCCCTACATTCATTACATTGAATTACATATTTCACACAGTATATACAAGGTTGTCTATATATTGATAGTTTTCTTATACAAGTCTGACCTATTGTCAATGATGAATTGATATTGAATTGTATTTACGTAAATGAAACTTTATCTAAAGACAAGGTGTATTTTAGAGAGTATTGTAGTGTATTTTTAGCCACTTTATTTCACTTGATTTATGGGACTGCAAATTAGAGCTGCAACAATAAGTCAATTAATCCCTCAACAAATAATTCATCATCAATTATTTTGATAATCAATTAATTGTTTGGATAATTTCTCAAGCACAAATGTTAAACCATTTCTTGGTTGCAGCTTCTCAAATGAGAATGATGATTATCTTAATGTTATACACAAAACATATTATTTGGGGTTTAGAGAAAAAAACAAAAAGTGAGGACAACAAGAGGCTCTGTGAAACTGAAGTTTCTTCTTATTTTTCTGATTTGTACACAAATATTAACCGTTTAGTCATAAGATCATTAGAAATATTTCAGATGAAAATATCCTATTCTGTCTTTTGTTGAGACTTGATTTCTAAGGCATGAAAGCATTTTAAATAAAAATATATTTCCTTTGAACTCAAAATATTCTATTTTCAAGCTTCAAAATCTGTATTTGCTCTACCCAAATCCTAATTTAAATCCATTTTAGTATTACAAAGCAATTGTGTCTTTCTTTTCCTTCTGACAAACCCATTTGTGCTAACTTCAGATGAAAAAAAATGTAAAACACAAATGTCACATACAGTATATTGTTTCACTTTTGATAAAGGCTCAGTAATTTACTAAAACAGTTGTGTTTTTATCATTTATTTGCTGGGGACTATTTTCAGCAGCGGAATTTTCCACAATTAGTGCTTTAGTTAGTATTGGTGAAAGCAGCAGGTGTATATGGGATTGAAATAAAAATAAACAGTGTGTGTTCATGGTATTCATATAACAACGTCATCCAGTGTGTCTCATTGATGTGACACAAAACGTATAAACATTTCATAGGTAGTTTAGGCTATCATGGGATTTATTGAGAATAGGAAAACTACAGAAGATCACAATTATTCGTCAGCTTTCCCTTGTTTCCTGCTTTCCTAATGAAAACACTAACTCAGAGTCTCTGTCTCTACTTATTTCCCAGGGGAAGCACCAAGGTCATGATCGACTTGCACAATGTGACAGCGTCCAGCCAACAGGAGCTGGGCCTGAAACCTGAGGAGCTGCAGAAGTCCAAATGTGTCCTGGGCTTCATCCCTGTCATCTACTACAGTATCCTGCTTTGTGTGGGAGTGCCAGGTATGTCTTATAGTGAGAAATGTTTGCATTGTTGTTTGTTAAATTAAAGGTCCCCCATTATACTGTTTTTCATCAATATATATGTCTCAGATATATACAAAACATGTCTCTGAAGTGTTTGGTTCCAAACACCAAACAGATCATTGCAGCATCCCATAAGCCCCTCTGTTTCAGCCCTGTTTCAAAAGTGCTGATTCTGTGTCTGTTACTTTAGATGAAAATAAGGAGCCACTTCCCTCACCCCTCTGAGAGATATTTGGTTAAAAAAGGAGGAAATTCAGGTGATAAGGTGGGCGGGTGTTACCTTGGTTGGTTATTGGCTAAAATTACACAACCCAACACACAGTTTTTGATACAAACAGATCAGGACAAAAAGAGAGCAAATATTTGTTCCTGAAACTTTCAGAATCTCTTTACACAGGCGACACATATTTATGTATAAAAGACATGAAAAAGTGGATTTTGCATCATAGGTGACCTTTAAAGAAAATTCATTTTTTCTTATACCTAGGGGTTTAATATGCCATGGTTTTGAGTCTTCAAAGGCAAGGACCTCTGCTACCACTGCTGTACAATATTAGTGAACTGACGTCCATGAACTCCAGCTATATCTCCTACCAGAAAACATGTCTTTTACGTCAAATATCTTATTTTGTAATTTAGGTAAATGTGCATTTGAGTCAGAATATTAATTGATGTACGACACGATTGTTAATGTTGCATTTGCACTGAATCACAATTACAGTACAGTTCAAATTGCTGCATTGATATCTATTTATAACAGTGGGAACTGCAGAGGACAGAATAAATCAATACACAAGTGAGTTAGAGGTACATTACAGAGCTCTAATGGACCAGTGACACTGTTGTGGCACATGACCAAGCATGAATGGCTCTTTTCACAGGTTACAAAAATCGAATCATCTCGCAATCAGTGTGTTTGAGTCTATGAGTATTTATCCATTCGTCCGTCGCTCCGGCCAAGTGTCCTTGGAATGTATCTGTTTCAAAATGTATCACCTGATTTAAGTGGAAATAAATGTCACATTGATGGACAGTGTTCACCTCGGCATTTTTCTCATTACTGTGCTTCATGCACAAGTCGATGGTGGTGATTTGGTATTGATCCAGCAGAGATTTAGACCAAGTGGTTATCGAAACAAGTCGACGTGTCACCAGAGCATTTGGATGCGTCACTTAATTGTTCCCAAAGGAAAATAAATAGAAAGGCCAAAGGGCAAGAGTCAACAGCTGTATGCCGGAAGGGGTCTTAAAAGACGGGTGATTTTACAGATGCTACAGTGAAAATATCCCGCTGACAAGATTTGAAAAACAGATTGCAGATGCTGTGTAAAAAAGATACTGTGTGGCAACAGTACTGCTATGAATGCATGTTTTCCCTACAAATGCACCATAACCTTAAAATTAACCTGATATGCCACATAATTTCATATGTTTTGCCCCATGAAAGAAATTGAGTTATATAGATATATCATTTTTTGTGAAAGAAGTCGTGAAACTTCCAAAGACTTCTAAACAGAGCTAAACAAGCCAAACTGCAGTTATCACATCTTTAAGCTAGCATGCTCCTAGCCACAGCTAATCTTGGCTACATTTATTCTGTTTCCTGTTTCGCAAAATTTGAGATAACTTCTAAAGAGAGTTAAAAAAGCCAAACTGCAGTTTAACAACTTACGGTTGCATGCTACTAGCCAAAGCTAACCTTGGCTATACACTTATTAGTGTTTCCTCTTTTGTGAAATTTGCATTAACTTCCAAACAGAGCTAAAAACAAGCCAAACTACAGCTTTAGCTAGCATGCTACTAGCCACAACCTTGGCTACATTAAATGCGTTTCCAGGAGTTGAAAATATAAATATGAGCCATATATTCAGGGTTGCCAACTCTCACGCATCTGGCGTGTGACACACGCTTTCACTCTCAATCTCACGCTCTCACGCTGCCCAAACTATTCTCACGCCAAAAACAAGAATACCGAAGACTAGAAACGGTTTTGAAAACTTTTGTAACGTAGTGATCGTCTTCTCAATAGAACATCTTTGATAATGTCTTCTGGCCAATCAGAATCACGATAACGGCGTGGTGTTGTTGCAGGAAGTCCCGACGGAGAATACTTTTGCGGTAGTACAATACATCGATACAACATTACGTGTTGATAGAAATCAACACGTAATGAAATAAGACCCCACGGTTTGATGATTGATAGGTGTGTGGGCTGTCTTTCATTTTGACACACAGAACAATGGGGGCTATCCACCCTTATCCACAATGTAAAGTAATTCACACAGCCTCTTCCCTCTTCTCTCTGTGGAGAAGCAGGTTCAGCTTTCAGAACAAAGTAACACACAACTAAAATGCCATTCATTTTTTTAAATGTGTGGTAATAGATTTATTTATTTTTCTTCTCAAGAGAGGACCAGAATGTGTATTTTATGTTAGTATTTTAAAAAATCTCCTAGGGGAGAATCCCCCCAGACCCCCCTGCAGGGGTTGGGTTTTCAGCATGTCTACTCTTTCACCTGTGGGGAAATTGCAGGATTGGCTCCAGGTCGCCCTTTTTATTTACTACAAGACAAATGTGTCTTTTCATTTCATACAGTTCAATTTGGATTGAGACAGGGAAATAATCTAAACCTCACGCGTGGCGTTTCACTGTCAAGGGGGGCGATATAGCGTGTATGTAATTACATTGCAAATACTGATTTGAGCCCCACCACTGTATGGGTTAGCCCTACCATAGATTACCCAACAAAAATACTCTGGAGCCGCAACTGCCGACCCGTATTGCGCATGCGCAGATCTAAGATCCAGTAGAAATGATAACAAAGTAAAAGTCTGCTGCTTATTGTTCTACTAGGCCAAAATAGAGTCAAAGAGTATATGAGAGTGAGAGTGTGTTAATTAATATATTTGGCAGTTTGGAGTAAGTCTGTAGATTTGTTTGTGTGTGTGTGTTTCATGTAGAGGCCTCTCACGATAATTAATTTTGTTGGATACATTTTCCCGGAAATTATTGCGATAAACGATAATATTGTCGGCACCGTTGTATGACCATTTTAGACCACTGACATAATGATAATATATAATAATAATTCAAGTACATCCTTTCAAACTGCTAGTCACATCCTCATGTAAATGGCAATTTATCGAGGTCAGAAAAGTTATCGAGTTCATTTTTATTTATCGTACTATAAGTCAATTAATTGCTTATCGCGACAGGCACACAATAAAACAGTGGAAACAAACATGTTTGACTTTCATTAGTGAATGAAACTGTGTGCCCTTTATAATCTGTGTCCATTATTGTGTATTTGTATATATTGTATATATATCCTATATATATGCTAAGGTCCCGCTGCTGACACGATAGCAGTCATTTCGTGCGCATATGTGTAATTAAACCGAATTAAACCCATGATATCAAAATCTCACTCCAGCCAGGTACCCAAAGTTGGCAACCCTGATATATTTAAGATCTTAGCGTAGTTTAGCAGAGTAGCGGTAAATGGCATTCTATTTTCTTTTTATACAACACATTTTCTACAACTTTTCCATTATGTCTCTGTTTTTTTCAGTCAACATCCTCACAGCCGTGGCTTTGTCCAGGCTAGCATCCCGCACTAAGAAAGCTCTGTACTACTACCTTTTGGCCGTGACTGCTTCAGACATTCTCTCCCAACTCTTCATCATCTTTGTGGGCTTCCTGCTTGAGACGGCAGTTTTTCACCGAGACGTCCCCATGCTTCTGCTGCACTCCGTCAGCGCTGCAGAGTTTGCTGCAAACCACGCCTCCATCTGGTCCACCGTGCCCCTCACCGTGGACCGGTATGTGGCGCTGTGCCACCCCCTCCTCCACCGCCAGATCAGCTACCCGGCCCGGGCCAGGAAGATCATTGGGGTGGTCCTCGGGTTATCCCTCGTATCGGGTGTGCCCTTTTTCTGGTGGTCGGACATGTGGAGGAATAGCAACCCCCCCACAGCCCTGGACACCGTCCTCATATGGACGCATGTAACTATAATCTACTTCCTGCCCTGCAGCATCTTCTTGTTGCTGAACTCTTTGATAATCCACAAACTGAAGGTCAGGCAAAGGCAGCAGCCATGCCAGGAGGAGGGCGGGTCAAAGATTGCGTCTCCGCGGCTACTTGGAAAAACTACTGCCATGCTGCTGGCCATCACATCTGTGTTCTCTGTGCTGTGGGCCCCCAGGACAGTAGTGGTCATCTACCATCTGTACGTGTCCTCAGTTCACCGAGACTGGCGCGTCCACCTGGCCTACGACCTGTCCAACATGCTGGCCATGCTCAACACAGCTGTCAACTTCTTCCTCTACTGCTTCGTCAGTAAGCCTTTCCGGGGAGCAGTGCGGGATGTCTTGCTGCTCAGGGGGGGCCCACTTTATCCTCGGAGGGCTCTGCCTCACCCGCTGGCCACCACCAATGCCTCCATCTCATCTCTGTACAGTGGGAACACCAAGCGGTCACAGCGGGACTTCACCCCCTTGTCACCTCACAGAGCCAGAAAGCCCTCATGACCCCCGTGCCCCCTTCTCTTAATCCAAAACACCCATCATCCCACGGTCCCCGAGCACTCCTGACCCCAGAGACGTATACACTGCATTCCAGCTAGGACCGTGGACAGCTGCCAGTCAGTCCCAGAGCTTTCTCAAAGGGCCTAAAATGAGCTCAAAATAAGTATGTTTTTGGTATTGTACTATGTCACAGGCTGTTGTTTGTCCACGTAAATCAGATAAGATGACAGCTTATTTGTTTTGTTTTTCAGAAGAATTTGATTTGGTTTGTGCTATTATTTTCCATACAGTGTAGTAATGTGATTTTTGATATTGTTACAATAATGCTGAAAAGAATTACGACTTGTTTTCCTTGGGGTTAATTCAATAGCTGGATCCATGATAAGGACACAGCATAGAAAAATGGAAGGGGGAAAGTGATTATTTGCATGCTGCTACAGTAATTGTAATCCATTCTACCCCACATTTATCATGTCAAGTGGTTGGTTTAATCTACTTTAATTGTACAATATCCACTCTGGAAGCAGCCAACAGGGAGAAATAAGAGTTTTTAACTGGCTGCTATTTCTGCAGTTGTGTAAAGATGCTAAATGTCCAAAAGACAATCCGCCCTGCTGAGCATTGCCAATCGAGCAAAGAAATAGCACTCTGCAGCGCGCTCCCAGGCACAAAAACCCCAGCTGCTAAGGGGTTTATTTTTCATGAAATGCAACTGGATGGAGCCTTAAATTAAAGCTTGCTGTTTAGGCGGCAGGAGTGAAGACCCTGCTCTTCAAACAGCCCCTCCGCTACATCCCCAGCATTGCCTCAGCTCTGGCTAAACAAACCACAGATTAGCCTGATGGTCTGCACAAACACACACATGCGCTCACAAGAAGGTACACACACAGTCATGCATGTACTTGCTCACACACCGACGTCAGCTTGTACATTTTCCATTGGCTTCAACAGGAATCTTCATGTAACATCATCATCATTTTGATGATGTTTGATTATTGTATCAGTGTTGTAAAAATATAAGAGATCTGCACTTAAGCTTCTAACAGCTACTTTGCATATGTGATTTTTAGGTTGTGGACAAACTAACTGTATGTATATATTTTTAATGAAGCACACTTTTACTTAGATTTGTCATGGAGCGGTAACTTGTTCTGTTAACAACTGAGTTTCTAATGGTATCTCATGTTGAGCGTTTTTTCTAAAGTCAGATAAATGCCACTAAATTAACACATTTAGGGCTAGATCAAACCAGGAACTGACCATAATTAGTATATAAAATAGACAATTTACATACTGTGGAGTCCAGTTGTTGTAAATTATTATTTTTGTTGGTATCTGTCAATGTAAGGATTGCCTTAAAGGTGGGGTAGGTAAGTTTGAGAAACCGGCTCGAGATACACTTTTTGTTATATTCCATGGAATGCTCTTAACATCCCGATAGCAATGAATATCTTAAGTGTTTTGACAAACAATCCATAAAAAAATGTCATCTGTGGAAGCCGTAATACTGTAAAAAGCACGACCAATCATTTTAGCCGGCCCGGCTAAAATAACTGGATGGCCTACCTGCCTGTCAGCCTTCCATCTGTGCACAAACTTATCTCGTGCCCTCATTGGTCATGTGCGCGTTCGTGTGTGTTGGAGGAGGGGCTCTGTAAGGAAGTGGCAGATTTTTTCCGGCTGTGTATTTTCAAATTCTAGCGCACTCAAGCTGGTTTCTCCAAAATTACCTACCCCACCTTTAAACTGAACTTTATAGGCACAATCTCACATGTTCTGCCCACTTGGGGTCTCTCAATCAAAACATTAACAAAAGTGTTTGCGGTATTGTGAAGTAGTGTGGGACCATGGGTTTATTTACTTACAAATATTGCCTTCGGTGTTCAGAAGGTTTATTCCTGCCTGTGATTACACCCGGTAAACATGTTGAGTAAAGCAGTTTCATGTCAAAAATCTGTGTTTCCCCAGCTCTGCTCTGCAGAAAAGAACGTCCCAGGGGTCTGAGAGCTGAGTTGACACTAATGTTTGCTCAGCTTGTTTCTCTGAGAACTTAAGATCCAGACATCCAATGACTAAGACACTTCATCCGGTTAAAACATATTGTAGGGAACAACTAAGTGCATTGCAAAAATGTGTTACATTTATGATAGCTTCTAGCAGACAACCACAACATTTACAGATAGATATCACTATTGTCAGTCGTCCAAACAAGACATACTGTTAGCTTGAAAAAGACTACAGATTTTTCAATGTTTAAAATGGTTTGAAACTCTCAGACTTCGAAAGTTCTAAACCTCAACAGCAAATGATCACAATCTCTGCAACCTTTGGTAGCCTTTAACCTCTTTCAGCTTAATTTTGGTCTCATGGCCCACTGTACTTTACCTGCTCAGCACCAAACACAGTTAGAGACTAGCTGGTTAAAAAAAAGTGAAGTATTAAACTGCTAAACAGCCGGATACTTTTATCAGAAGTTGGTGGAGACCAAATCAGAGCCAAAAGGAAGATGATTAAGATTGACGAGGTGGACACAAACACAGTATATACTGTGAATGCTGATGTTGCTCCATTCGAAATATGTTGTTAACATGTTACAACTTTATTATGTGAAAAATAGTATGGCTGTTTATCCGCTAGCTTATTTGTAGCTTAAGTGGTTAAAAATACTTTAATGTTCAACATATTTGCAATCATTGGTTTTAAAGAACTTCAAAGATTCATTGACATCTTTCTGAATCATCTCATACATGTTTTAATACTTCACTCAACAATGCAGTCTCCAGTACAGTATATACATACATCTCCCCTGACCACCCATTCAGGTTTAAAGTTTCAGATGTAAGCCATCTGCGTGCTCCCATTCCTTTACAGTCCTCATTGTGTTTACTGTAACGGTGAGAGACACAGTGTCCGTTCCTCTGAGGGTCCCTGCGTCAGTCTCTCATGTCGCCCCTCCGTTGTCCCACACTGAGTTCTGAGAGTCCGTACGCAGATGTAGATGCAGACGGTTTCTTTGAAGATGTCTCCTGCTGCCTGACAACAGCAGAGGGGGGTGTGAGAGAGCGTGTAATGACGGCGACCTTACACTGGTTAAGACAGTGGGGGGTCAGAATAAACAGTTAGGACGGTAATATGATGCTAAGATGTGAGAGCAGGCTTTGATTAAAGTTTAATGGAGCTGCAGCATCTACTGAGCTGTCAGGGAGCAGATGAAATGATAATAGGGTAAATATTATGTTTAAATATGCGAACAAGGCATTCTCTAATATGTGTTAATTAGCATACATTTCCAGAACAAAAATCTGAAAATGTTCATTAATAAGGTATTATTCAAGGTTAATGAATAACACCTTAAAGTAGGTAATTCACTTCAGAAACACTTTTTGTTATATTCCATGGAATGCTCTTAACATCCCGATAGCAATGAATACATTAATTGCTTTGACAATAAATACATACAAATATTTCATCTGTGGAAGCCGTGGTGCTGTAAAAAGCACGACCAATTATCTCCCCCGGCCCGCGGCAGATAACTGGATGGCCTACCTGCCTGTCAGCCTTCCATCTGTGCACAAACTTATCTCGTGCTCTCATTGGTCATGTGCGCGTTCGTGTGTGTTGGAGGAGGGGCTCTGTAAGGAAGTCTGAAGGAAGGGGCAGATTTTTTTCGGTTGTGTACTTTCAAATTCTAGCGCACTCGAGCTGGTTTCTCCATTCTTACCTACCCTACCTTTAACAAACCCCCTAGCTAAAAATCTTCAAATGATAGATACAACTTGAACGTTTGATATATGTTAGTACTAGAGTGAACATGATTTGCCCCATTTGAGAAAAAAACATATTTTAGGAAAATTACATACATTTTGCACCTGAATTTATCACCATTACACTTCCCTACTTGATTACCTACATTTCTTACAACTATTTTTTAGCATGTCATGTAAAAGAAGGGAAATGAGGAATTATCTAATCCTAACTTTGGTTTATGCTAATTTTGGCTAATTCTAATTTTGGCTAATGCTAACAGCGAATACAGATCACATTTTTAGACATCAAAAGAGAAACTTGGTAAAATAAACCCCTCATTTTGATTATTTATGTTTTTCTTTCGCCTATTCTCAAAGAAAACCTGTTATGGAAGCAAAACATCCCTTGCCTGTGGCGTCTTTCCGTAAAGAGCAGGTGACCCCCTCACACGTCCCCTGTCTGCCTGCCACCTGTCCTTTGTGCCTGTTCAAACAACTGCCTCTGTCCCCTGACTGTTTCTATTCAGCCTGCCTGATGCTCAGCAGGTGTCAGGAGGCATAACATGATAAGACAGAGCACCACAGAGAGTGACAAGTGTACTATCAGATGCAACGTCTATATATAGAAAAACGCATACTTTATGTAATTGAAACTAAAACATTTATCGGATGTTGCTTTTTCCAGAAAATGGAAAACACAAGTCGTGTTTACTCTACATTAGCAGATTACACAGTTATCTTTACTAATGTACATTTACAGAATGATTGATTTGATCATATTCATCTATCAAAGGAGTTTCTGGCTTAAGCTAATTCTTTAAAATGTCATTTCTAGCTGCAACACTCAGTATTCCGAATAAGTATTTTTTGTTTAATGTTCTTGGATGTTCAATGTTAAAGTCCAAAAAGGAGTTTGTCCCAATTAAAAGTACTTTTGTCTAAATATAGCGACTAAATCTGTAAAAACAGTGCCTGAGTGATGAGATTTCTGAGCAGGTTTGATAAAATAACTACTCCATGAGATGAGGTTTGAAATGTACAATATTTTGTCAGTACGTGAATGCAACTGTTCTGAACATTTCATGTGAATAATGTCTGACCCCTCCAAAAAAATGAAAGCACTGCTTGTTTGTTTATTAAGTTTAAAGTTAAGCTTTTAAAATGGAACATCTGTTTTCCTGATGTACAGTCAGAAAAGCATCCCGTGTCTCTGCTTCAGTGATAAAGGTTAAAAGTCTTGTTCTCCCGCATGTTGTTGCTTCATGTGCATTGTTTACATTATTTCTTTTGGCACACATGTAACCGTAATGTAGAATGATCCTGTCTGTAAGCACTGAGAAGAGTTTTATATGGGGGGGGGGGGAATAAATGTTTAACATGGGATTGGTCCAGTTTATTTTATACTCGCCCAGACAGATTGTACATCAGGTGAGTCTGTTATCCTGTGTAGATTTTAAAATATGAAAACGGCAAAAATGTACACCTGCAAATTCACAGGCGAGAGTGGACGTAAATCAGTC